GGTATATTTACTCAGTGGGATATTATGCAGAGATCAAAAAAGACGCTTAACAAGGAAAAGTTTTGCAACATGAGTGGAGCTGGAAGAGATTATCCTAGTGGAAATTAGAAGGAAAAAGATAAACACCAGATGGTCTCACTTATATGTTGAAATTAGAGAAGCCAAAAATAAAGTTACAAAAAAAAGTCAAAACTAGCAAGCTGACCATTGGTCTGAAGCATAGAACAAAGAAGGACTAGGAAGGGGGAAAAACCTGGGAGGGATGAACACAAGGGCCTGGCTCACGGTGATGTGGTAGTGGGAGAACTGTGGGGACTAAAATGATGTAAGAAAAAATAATTAATAAAAAAATTTTTAAAGGGATTTTAGTAATGTTACTACAATTAATTTGAGTGAGTATATGCACACATAAGCTTAAACTTTGATAAAAGACAGTGTCATAAAGCAGAAATTATAAGGAAGCTTAATTTTTATTTACTGATGTTGAATTAGAAATTTAAATTAATTTTAAATTTAATAGCAGCAAAACTAACTTACATATCAGTTAAAATAGCATCTGTTAATAAATGCACTAGAAATTTAAAAATACATTAATTAGAAATGAATGTCGTAACTTGAGACTTTCCCTCAAGCCCAGCCACCTAATAGCTTTCTTAAGACTACCATTTTATTTTATCATGAGGAAAGGGCAACCTTCATTTTCTTAGTGTGTCTTCTACACAATTTGGGAAAGCAAATTTGATAAGTAGTGTTCAAAAGGACAAAACCAGGACAAAAATTCCTTGTATTCTGTGTTGCCTTGAGATAATGGCCCGCAGTATCTGGCCCGCAGGGCCATCATCGATGGGCCCGAGTTTTAGAGAGGCTAGTCTAGACCAGCTTCATCTGCAGTGCACAGTCCAGTGGATTCCGCAGCTGCTCTTCGTTCAGTGGCAGTTCACATCCCTTTGTCAGGCATCTGTGCTAGAATCTGAGGCTACAAACATAAGTGCTTCTCAGTTTCTTCTCTCAAAGAGTCTATTAACTGCATTTAGCAGAATGACGTCTTTCACTGAAAGCACTGGCAGATCTTAATAAGCTTAAGTTGCATCATACTGATGACTGCTGCTTTTAACACATGGGGTCACAACTTGTGTTGAGCCTTTGTTATGTGTCATTCTATAGAATAAGCTTGTTGTATTTATTGTCAGTTGGCCAGAAGTGCTGGGCCATCCGTAGATGAGCTGTTTCCATGAACTCTAGCCTCAAAGAGAATGTCAGATACCTTTTCTTCTTTGTGCTTTGAGAACACTTACCCTCAGCTACAGTGTATGAATATCGCCGTTTTCTTTGGAACTGGGGGTGGGGAGAGGGGGATATGCTTTTCTCTGGGAAAGATATCCCTCAGCAGTGACCAGCGACTTCATCTCCATGGAGGTGACAGATAGCTGCACACTGAGCTGCTACAGACTCCGCAGGCCCAGAGAAACTGCAGAGAAACTGCACCCTTTGGAAGGTGCCCGTGCCCCAGAGGAGGCCTTCTGCATCTCATAAACGTGCAGGCCAGTTACTGATGACTTGGAGACCGTGTCCAAGCTACACACCAGAATTCTCACTGCCTGCCTCCTGACCTTGTGCTTTTAGGCAAAACCTGACTATACACACTGACATTGCTGAGCACACACATTTCACCGTCATTTTGTGGAATGACTGTGTTGTCGCAACAACTTGAGTCAGCCTTCGGCAGAGGAAATGTTTAAAGAAAACTCAGTTGCTAAGCCTTCGGCTCAAAGCATACTTCTTACTCATGAAATGTTGGCTTCCGGTTGCCATGGAGCCAAGTCTTAGACACTCAACACACAGAGAGAAGTCAGGTCCCCTCAACTGGGCCCAGGTGAGTTGCAGAGGCCTGCTTTGGCCATTTTTTAAGAAAGCCCAGAATGAGTCACACCAACAGCCCTCATTCAGCCTCTGCCTTTTCACTTGACAACAAACAAGTCACTTATATCTCCTTGCTCCTGTTCTCCCTTCTCCTAACTAGAACAGACCCAGAAAGCCACCTTCCTCTCCTTGTAATTCCAAATGTGTTGGTAAAAGGAACTGTCTGGGCCCTCCCTGGTGGCGCAGCGGGTTAAAGCACAGCACTAAGAAGCTAAAGCCACTTCAGCATGAGTTCCATCCCCACCTGCGCCAAGGTAACCTCTCCTGACCCGCCCGCTGCTCCCCTGAGCAGTGTACTTCATCAGTCAGCCTGCTCTGCTCCCCAATCTGTCTCTGGTGAATCCTCTCACCACCCCTACACCTCTGGCCTGTACCTCAGTTCTGTATGTATAAATAAATAAATCTTAAAAAAAAAGAACTGTCTAACATCGCCTGGCCATGAGGTCAAAACATTTACCACCAGAAGAAATTGGAATAATCTTTGCTTTGGGTGATAAATGCCAGTTTATTGTGAGTGTCTTTTCTGGAAAAGTGGGAGAATTTGAGGTTTAAATCATCCTTTTACAGAACTGTTGATTTCTAATTCTTAACCTCAAGAGAAACATATAATTTATGGGGGCCATCTTGTATTTTATAAAAGCCACTTTAGTCCCTCAAAGGGTTGAAATTTCCTAGACTTGGTAAATCAGAGAGTTGTTGAGAACTCTTCAGTTGTCAGTCATTTAGTGTGACTCACATCAGCTCACCAGCCACAGGAAGAGAGATTCACTCACTTCAGGGCAGTGAGCAAATTCCTCAGCTACTTTAAGAAAACCTGAGGAAGTGGAAAAGAGGGAGGGGTGAACAGGTGTAAGTAAATTTACACAACATTGTGTGTGACCTGACCAGGAAATTTCAAGACCACAGAAGGAGAAAGCAAGTCACATGTCCTGAGGGAAGAAAGAAAACAATGGGACCTCGCTGCTTCTTTTTTTTAAGGTTTATTTATTTACTCATACAAGAACTGGGCTACAGGTCAGAGGTGTGGTGGTAGAAGATTCCCAAGAGACAGAGTGGAGAGCAGAACAGTCAGATTGACTGTAGTACACTGGTGAAGGGAGCAGCAGGTGGGTCAGGAGAGGTCTGCTGTGCCATGCTGGTCACCTCCCTGGTCTGGGATCCAACTTGTGCTGCAGTGGCTGCAGCTTGCTTCATAGTGCTGCGCTTTAACAAACACATGTGCCACCAGTCACCTTGAGTTCCTCTCCCTACTCTTTGAAAGAGACCTGTTAACATGGCACCTCCCCCAAGTTCTGGACCACCAAACAGAGCAAAGGCTGTAGGTGACTCCTTCATATTCAGTTGCTAGAACTGTCTTCAGATCCCAGAGACTAATGTGGAAGGGAAGGCGGACTCTCCCTCGGGCTCTGCTGCAACAGTGCTGCACTGCTGGCTTCTCAGGATGCAGAGAATAGGGGCCTGAGGTCACATGAGCCCTCTCCTCTGATACTGGGGTCCCCTTCTCAGGAGCCGCCTATGCACATGCTTCTTCAGAGTTGCTGGGAGACACTGAGATTATTTGAGAGAGAGCCAAAGTTTTTCCAAACATTCAAGTCAGAGCTAT